TCAGTTTTTTTATACCAAAAATGATTTAAAACAGATTTTTCGGACAAAAAAGGTAAAAATTAAAACGAGTGGCTCGGACAATCGATAGAGCTTGAAAAGTCCTATCGAATGATATATCGCATGATTTGCTTCCATTTGTTCTGACATTAGGAAAATTTACTTTGTCTACTGAAGTGCTACTAATTAGTGATAACCAGAACTAATTAGTAATTAAAAAACGGTCAGAAATATCCTTTTTAAACGTTTTTTGTATGGAATTACATCTACAAACAATTCTCTATAAAACTATATTAAAATCAATTGAATGTAACGTTTATATCGAAAACTAGAAAGGTTTTAAAAGGTGCCTTTCAAACTAAAAATTTCAATTGACTTTGAACTTAATTAATTAATAACTATATCAATACTTAACCAAAGAAAGTTGAAGTTGAACTTTAATGTGGAGTTTTTTCTCGACTCTGGTACATATTTAAATATTTGTATGTACAAATTTGTATACAATTTCTTGTTTGTTTTGTTCGATGAAAAGAGATATTTATAAACTCATTAAAAACTCTTAGAATGTTTCTGTACTCACAGTAGATTTTAAATCAGGTACCAACGTAGTCGTCTATACTAATTAAAAATGTGCTATCAAAAATGATCATTTGATACTTTTCTTTTATTGTGTGACTTTCTGTCTGTGGATAAATAAACATAACATTTTTTCTCTAAGAAATATTTATTAGCCGCTCAGTAAAATGAAATGGAATCCAACTTCGAAGTCGGAGTTGATTCTGAAAATAAAAAATGGAAATTGATTTGAAATAAAGTTGGGTGGGTGCACCGTTACCCATTCCTCCACCGAAACAAGTAAGTGTTTAACAAATCCATTGACTGTAGAAATGAATTGCTCTTATGACTTCAGAAGGTAAGGTGTATTTTCCGTATAATTTTCAAGTTCTCGCTCTAATTGCATCTAGAAATAAGACCCATAAGTCGACTGACAATTAGTCTTCTTAATAGAAGACCCTTTTGTCGGTCTTTCCTCACCTGTCTTATATTAGAATCTCTTTTATGATTCAGTATTTTCTGGCCTCCGATTGCAATTTTTTGAAAAAAGAGGAATGAAAGAGGATTTGTGTTTCTTTTCAAAGAGGATTTAAAGTAAAAAAAGAGGAATGGATTTTTCAGTCCGAAAACCGCTGTGACAAGTCATTTTGGGTCAAAACTCAACTTATCGAACATCACGTGTCTGTATGAAATTCCGATTCTGCTGAAAAATTGAAGTTTTTCGCCAAAGATCATATGAATCAAGTCTGAAATAATAAGTCAGAAAGAAATCAGTACTAAAATACAACTGTTCCTGAACAAAACAGGATATATACATCTTTGAATCAGTGACTAAGGGTTTCTGGAAAATCTATTAACCAAAATATCCTTTTAGATTTTTTCGATCTTATAATCACGTTTGCCGGACAACCTTAATCATATCCTGAGGTTTTGAGCTGATGCTTTTTGAGTGAATAGTGAATTTTTTAATATTAGGTGAAAACAGCCTGAAAACCCTAATTTTCGTAAAACTCGCCTTCGCTAGATCTTTAAAACTTTTTCTAAAAACAAAGATTTCCACGAAACTCAGTATGGTCGGTTACCCATAGCCTATCCTAGGCTCTAAGGCTACCAATAGTCACCGGGTGCCAGTCCGTGGACTCATAGGAAATCCGATACAACGCCCGAACCACGGAAAATTAAGGCCTCACTTCACTCTCATTTTGGAGAGGACACTCCGAGCTATCAGTCCGTGAAAAAAATCAATACAATCCTATTGGAAAATCTTTACAGATGGCCTCGTTTTCCAAAGATCTCCTAGAAAATCTATTTCAGAAAACTCTTCTGAAAACAATTTTGGTTATGAAAACATGTCTCCAAGTCTCCTCTTTCGAATGGCGAAAACCGCACGTCTTTGCCTCATTCCTACCAAAGCTTATTCAAAAAATGGTCTCACGCACGTATTTTTTTAATGGGTAATACTTATCTATCTAGGTAAAAGATTCACGACCATATACTATAGTATTTCGTCGTATTTTGACGTAAACCCGGCCAACGTAGTACGTCCATCGTAAACGATGTCGTTTACGTTCAAATACGACGGTCGTAATGGCTGACGTAATACGTTGGCCAGGTTTACGTCAAAATACGACGAAGTACTACAGTATACGTCAAATTAGGTCGTCATAATCTGACGTATACGACCGTATAGGACGGTCGTAATCATGGACCTGGGTACAGTGAAATAAGTTCAGTTTATAACATAGAGAATCTCCAAAAAAGTTATCTCTGTATAATGTGTTCCTTCAAGGTAATTTCTATTTGTTTTTTTCAGACTTCGATGCTATTCTTTAATATTCTTAGAAAAAAGAGGAAAACCGACTTGAAAAGAGGACAAAAAAGAAGACTACACAAAAAAAGAGGTAAAAGAGGATGAATCGGAGGCCAGTATTTTATAATAATGTGTATTATCCTTAAATCTTCTATATTTTCTTCGGTCTTAGAAATAAGATCGATACATCTGTTAGTCCTCGAATAAGACGAAAAACAAGAACGGTACAAGAGCAAGACCGTTAGATTAAAATTTATTTTTTTTGTAGAGTGCCCCCTGAATTTCCTAGCAAAAAATCGTAGTTCTAAGCCACTCAAAAATGTTAAAGTTTCTTCTCGGAAGATCCAGACTTCTTGACATTGCTATCAATATGTGCAATTCTTAGCGTCTTTTCCAAATTGTTTGGTTATAAGTTCATTAGTGATATTTCTTGCGCACAGCACTAGCCTAAAATTTTTATACAACAAAAATATCATATTCGGAATCAGTGTCAAAAACTGAGTCGAATGATACATATTTTGAAGTTTTTCTATGATTTTCATTTTTAATGAAAATCCCCCAAAACCTCAAAATAGTCAGGTCAGATAGCATAAAAAAATATATTAGTCAAGTCAGTTTTTGATGCTGATTCCGAATGTGATGTTTTTATTGTATAAAAAATGAGTTATGATGGAGAAAATTGAGAGTTACGGGCAGAATTTCGATTTTTTTCGCTCCTGATCTAGAAAAAATGAATCTTCTCAGTGACGACAGAAAATTTAAGAAAAGTGATGTGTGCCTTTAAAGCGCATTCAATGGCAGTTCTGATAAAGTGAAAAAATTGGCTTCATCTCTTCTGAAAAAAACTACGTAGATTTGCAAAATTGTTCATGAACTTTTTACAGGAGGAGTCCAAGACGTAGGCAAGCACCAGTTACAGTTAACTGTAAAACTGTAACTGTCATAACTGTAGACAAATATTCTGGAGTGATTAGTATTATACGCTTTGCATACATTTTAGAGCAGTTACAGTTATCAGCAATTTTACAAATACAGTTAACTACCTACCAAGACGATTATGCTGGATAGGCCTTTGACTTCAACCTCAGTCAAGCATCATTCTCATACTCAGTTTTTTACGCTGAATGTGAAAAAAGCACGTCCAAAACGTTAGAACTAAAAAAAAGAAAAAAATCTGAATTTTTTTGAAACTGAATGGTTTTTTCGAAATTTTAGACCCTTCGAATTTTTCAAACATTAAAACACATATTTTCTTCTAGGCCTTTCCGCGCAGGTCCGCCCCCTATTACATTCACCATTAGCCGCGAAAATTTCACTTTGCCCGTCGTGTAGAGCAACTAAAATAACCTAAAGGTCTCACTTACCCTTTTTGAAAAAACGTGTGGAAAGTGGTTTTCTAGACACCTCAAATTTTTGATGAGGATGAAACCGAAGTCGGTGAAAATGAACAAAACATTGCATAATTATACGCCAAATTGTAGCTCTTGACGAGTTGATTCTAATGGTGAAGGAATTCGGTCTTGGTCTAACTTTACATTCGAGTGGTATTCACTTTACTTGAAAAATTTCCGAAGTTTGACCTCGATTTTCTCCTAAACGCTTCGAAAATTTGTCGAGATTTTTTTCACAATAGGAACTACTTACTAGTAGGATCTATAACTTTGCCCATACAACTATCCTCGACACTTTCCATTTTTCACCCTTAGTTTTCCAGAAATCCTCTTAGAAAAATGCGGTACGGAAACACAGAGAAGCATCAGAAAACGTTGAAGTACATTGAATTCTTCATGCTGAACAGGAACATAGAGTCATAATAGCCCAATTTTGTTTTCATGAAGTGAGGTTTTAACTGGAAAACTGAGGTGAAAAATGGAAAGTGCCGAGGATAGTTGTATGGACAGAGTTATAGATCCTACTAAGTAGTTCCTATCCTGAAAAACCTTACAGTTCCAAAAAGTTTTCAAATTTTCTATCCTATTCAAAAATATTCAATTTACTAATGAGAAACCGTTTATCGCGGTCTGCACCTATTGTTTTCCAGTTGAGAGCGGCATCTAGGCAGTACACTACGAGTTATTTCAGCAATATTCTAAAAGTGCAAGATGAGTGCTGAATTAAAGGAGTAAGTAGCAAAATGGTTGTAAATTATACAGTAAATGTTCAAACAGTATTTGTTTTAAATCTCTTTTTAATGGTAACAAATTACCTGATTGGCCAATGGCCGTCTATCTTTTTGCTTATCAAAAGAAAATGAAAGTAAATCTGTGCTATAGTGGTTGAGTCAAATAAATATGATTATCAAAATCAGTTATTAGCAGTTAGAGTGCTAACTACGGCAAGGTTGTGAAATTGTGGAAATTCGCATATTTTTTTGTTAAATAATGAGCCAGAGAAAATATACTAAATCTAAACTTACGTGTGATTTCTTTTGTGTGTTTTTCTGTCAAATACATCTCGCAGCAGATTACATAACATTTACAGATTTTCTTAATATCATAAAGAAATCATGGTGTATAAATATAGTGAGTTAGAGTCTGGAGTACCTGAAGATTTTAAAGCCAGAGAGAAAAGAATGTTTTCAATGAAATAAAAATCCATAAGTATTTTGAAGTAATATTATAGACCCGTTGCGTTTATCATGGACGTACGAAGCCTCTATTAGCTAACATCGATTTGCATTTGCATTATAGTGACTTATACATTCCCCTTTCACTGTAGAAACATATGTTTAATCATACAGAATTCTATTTATGATTTATTATTTTTATATACAGATAGATCCTATTTTTCAAAAGTTTATCATCGTTAGCACTGATTATGAATTAAATGAGATAATCGAAAATTTGTTTCAGAAGATTCGTCAGAATCCTCTGAAGAATAGATTCATCTTTGTATCAAAACTCCACCAAGCGTAATAACTGAGAAAAAAATGGCACAAAGCTAGGTTAAAAATAAGCAAGAAGACTATTTGATGGTATGGCCAACGGCAAAAAGTGCTTCCTTTCGTGCACTTTTAGGCGTTTTTTTGGGGCAAGATTTCGCGAGCCCAGAGATATCGCAAAAAAATCGCAATCAATAATTATCCATTCAAAATAAATTTGAGCACCGGCAATTCAAAATGCACTTGGATTACACTTAGACTGCACTAGCGATTTAAATAGATGTAGAGTCTGTGCATCTATTCAAATGAATTGCCGATGCTCAAATTTATTTTGAATGGATAATTATTGATTGCGATTTTTTTGCGATATCTCTGGGCTCACGAAATCTTGCCCCAAAAAACCGCTTAATGGATGACGTTATTCAGCCCTTGGCCGTATAATCAATGGCTCTAGTGACAGTCATCTCTGCTGTGCAGTTAGTTGTATACCATTCACTAAGTTGTCGAAGTTTATTTCGATAATTAATTACTTTTTTTTTGAAAACGAACTAGCACCCTGTTATAAAACAGAAGTATTTCTGTATAAAACTTTGCTTTTTATTTCAGATTACATAGTAAAGTTTATCGAGAGACTGTGAAAATGTTGTCAGAATGTCTATTTTAAGTATTTCCACAAATGCTGTATAAAAATAGTTCAGTCATTATGTCAACTTTATCAGAGAATAATATACCATTGTCGTCGAACATCCGAAATAATCCATTGACATTAGATACGAATAAAAGCAACACTGGCCAGCAGGAAAAAGTAAAGTTTGCACAGCGTTCAAAAGTATCTTACTCAGCGTTGTAGACATGTACTGTTTGCTTGCCAAGAACACTTGTCAATATAATTGAGGGTGGTTGCAACAAATCGATGAATAATAAGTAGGATTTACAGATACTTATTAACTTTTCTTTTCACGCTGCGACATTCGAAAAGCCGATTATATTTCGACTATAAATATAGCTTGCGACCAGTTTTTCTTGTCTTTGATGCTCTATGCAACAATAATTTGAGAAGCTGAAATAAAGAGTAGCAGAATTCAACTAACATGTACTGATAACTTTGATTTATACGCTCTTAAGTCTCCTGTATACGTTCTTCATATTCAGTTAATTTATTTTGTTACTTAATTTCAGGATCTGAAACAAAATGATTTAAATAATAATACCAATGAAGCGGTTACTTCAAATACTACTACTAAAAGCACTATCGAACGTGATTTTGTCGTCGATAATGATGAAGATGATGAAGAACCGATGCTAAATACTCGTATCATCAAATGCAAATCAACGTCGAAGTCTCAATTACCATTACATCTTGTACATAATCCACAGACTCGACAAATTCAAATGCCATCGTACAACATTCTCTCACAACAAGCACCATCATTGGCGACGACAGGTTATCGATCAATCGATGTACCTAATGAACATACATCAATTAAACTTCACATTCGACGTGTTTGTAGTCCAACTGATACAGCACCAACACCGACAACGAATTTATTACACCATAATGCAGCGACGCTATCAGCAGCAGTTTCCCATGAAATAAAGCATGAATTTATCGAACATAAAACACAGCTTCTACAACAAACACAAAAACGAACATTTTTTAACATAAATCAAAATGAACAGCTACCGGCTACTTCACAGGTATGATAAAAAGCCGTCTTATAATTTGAAGTATATCGTATAGGCAGAAAGTAGTAGTTACAATCAACTGATAAACGCTTTAGCTATAACTAGAATTTTTTGCATTTTTAAAAAAGTTGGAGTTCTCAAAATCGACGACATTTTTAGATAATCAATCAACAAAACGACTTATCGGCGCCCTCACCTTTTAATCGCGCCAAAGAAACAACATCAACAATTGTTGATAGTAGAGATTTGCATCAAAATGGTAATTCTTCTTCAACAGATCAACCACAACAAACTACACCTATAATTCGAAAAGCAACATTGAGACGCTCCACTCAATCTCGAATATCAACAACAACCGATGAAACAACGAAACAATCGCAACAACCATTTCCCCCTACTACTGTTGAAAAACGAAATACGATCTCGGTCTATGATTTAAATACTTCTTTAAGTATAGAAAATAATTGTTCACCCTCAATATATCAAAATAATAGTTCAGTAGTTGAAGAAAATAATTATGATGAAAATAACATAATAAAAAATTCGCCACAACGTACATCGAAACAACAACAAAAGCGAAATATACAAGAACAGCAACAACAAAAAAAAAGGCTGCGATTGAGTGCAACAAAAACAAAACAAAATAGTAAGAGCTTGTTTCCCTTAACGAAACGCAAAAAATCAGTTTACAGTGGGCATCTAAATGGACGTTTCGCAAGAAAGTGAAAGGGTTAATTTTTCAATTCTTTTCGGCGGATACAAGACTTTACATTGTAGGATATTGACTCAGAAGCTGGAAAAAATCTCTTACTCAGGCAGATCTCTATTTAAGAAAAGGCAGTTTCTCTACTTAAATTTCTTTAAAAAGTCAAAAGGTTTTGAGTAACTGTGTCCAAACGAGAGGGTGGTATACCACCCCCTAATCGATAACGCTGCAATGCATCTCCACATTCGTCAAACTTAGTGAAACTTTGTACATGTCTTCTTCTGTGTATGGTGGGTCTATAACATTAGCATATCAATACATATTTGTTTCTTTTCTAATATATAAGCTTTTTTAAAAACCCATAGTTTTTGAAGCGAAATCCTATTATTTCTACTTTTAAAGTAATTCTAAGCAAAACCAACGCAATATTCGGAATCGGCTTGTCAAGCCAAATAAAATAATATATATAATGATAATTTTTTAGCGAAAGAGCTTTTCTTAGGGATTTCTGGCTAAGTAGTCCTCAGGCAGTTTTTAGAATTTAGTTGTTTTTTTAATGAACTAGATATTTTGAATAATGAAAAATCATTCAAGACAAAAAGAAAGTTTATTAAGAAAAAAACTGTCATGTCAATGTACTCTGTTGAAAAATACTTATTGGATCTCTTCGTTGTCGTTATAGAATCCTCATCAATAACTTCAACCAAGACCCGTTCGATAGAAACGCGTTCGTCGTCTCGTCTAAAAGAGAAAACCATACGTAGTAACAAATCACATTCTACTCCTTTGATAGAAACTCCCAATGATCAGTCGTCGTCATTAGCCGATATTTCGTCCTCATCGTCAACCAGCACTTTTTTTCCCACATCTTCATTAGTCGAAAACATAGCAACTACAGCAAAATCCACAGCATCTCGATCTCAATCCAATTCTTCTTCTTCATCTGTGGAGGAAGAATCAACGCTTGATGGTCACTCTCATGCGACATCTAAACGTCGTTTGAGTACAGAAATCATCACAACAGGCCAAATATCAGAATGTGCAATACAAACAGATTTAACGACGAATCGTTCGAGTAACCGGAGATAACTACTGGTTTGTCTTTTAAAAATATTAGTATTTTTTTTTATTTAGATTCCGTTCCAAGTGAATATGTTCTTGTTGTCAAGAATCAATTACCTACGATATGTGAAAATGGTTGTCAAACACGGGACGATTTTTCAGAAATTTTGCACCAGTCAGTTCAAACTATTAATTTAGTTAAAATTGATAAATCAACGTATATGGACGCTATTGATCGACCTCTATGTGATCAAGCTTGTCAAACCATTTCATTTAAATCGAATGAAACTCAAACAATGGATTTAAATTGTCCACATGATTCACAAGTTCATCTGTGTGAATTAAGAACACTACACACCCAATGTGATGGAATACAAAGCATTTTACAAGAAACAATGACATCATCGTCATTGAAAGGTTCCCTGTTAACACATCAATTACGAAAACAGTCAATGTCTTCTTCTTCGTCACCGTCTCAATCGCCATCTCCATCACTTCTGAATCTGGTACAACGACCTGCATCAACAACAAATTGTTCACCGCCTATCTGTAACAATACACTCTCAACGATAAGAACACCAACGCCAGATACGGACAGGTTTCCAAAAAATGGTAAGTCAATTTAAAGCTTAGATTTTGAAGACTCTTATTTTTTTACCATATCCTTTTCTAGGTGTAGATCCTACTCATCCATACTCGAGCGATCCATATTTAGATTTACAATTACATAACGACCACAACGATTTATATAAACAATTTCAAAGTTTGGTTCACATTGAAGAACATCCAAATGGTGGTGGTTCTCTAATTCGCACTTATTACAATGAATTTTCTCGTTTATCACAGGAGAATATGTCGTTATTTGTCAATTATTTTTTTGATTTGGTTTATGGTGAAAATACGTCCACACATCGTGCCAATTTTTCAATTGGTGTTTTGCATGATGGTGCCAAATATTTGCCAGATCTTGTTGATTACTTTAGTTTACAATATCCAAAAATGATTGTAAAAACATCGAATTTGACTAGTTCAAAAGAAATATGTACAATGACAATGGGAGAATATCGAAATAAAATTATTCAATCATATTGCAATGGAACATTTCGCTTTGGTCCACTGTTACATATTTCACTTGTCGGAACAGTTAGCGGAAAAGAAGAATGTGGTAAGATACCGAGACAGAACGACTGACGGCATCTTACACTTTAGGCATCTGCATTTTTTAGGTGATTATTTTCCAACATTTATCGATAAATTAGAAGAAAATCAATTTTTAAAATGTGTGATGCCATGGGGTTCAAGTTCAAGTTTAAAAATGGCATCTAGAACAGAGAGTAATGATGGACCAATTTTATGGGTGAGACCTGGAGAACAATATGTGCCAACAGCCGAACAAAAAAGTTGTCATCCAAAAAAACGGTATCAAAACGTCTTCTATGCACATTTTTAATTGTAGACCATCATTTTCATTGTTTTTTTAAGGATAGCTAATGAACTACGAAATTTGACTTTTACTGCTCGTGGTTCAGAGCCAAGAGAAATCCTTGTTGAAGATCGTACAAAACCTCATTCAGATCACTGTGGTGGTGGTAGTATAGAAACAACAGCAGCTGTCGGAATACTGAAAGCTGTTCATGCTGGATCACCGTAAGGTGTATAGTACTGTTTTTGAATCTACTACTAAACTGTGTATTTGATTTTTAGATCAACTGTGAATCGTATGGTTAAAGATGTTGTTTGTTTTCACGCTGACGATTTTGAAAAAGTTGTAGAAAAATTAAAACTTGATGTTTACGAACCTCCAGCAACACAAGTACGTCATGTCTTGTCTTGAGATATAGAGTAATTATTTTATTCTCTGTTTCTGTTTTAGTGTTTAGTTTGGTGTGACGAAGGTAAACTGAATCAATTGCGTCGCGATGGAATTCGTTATGTGCGCCTCTTTTTGTATGATAATGATATTTATTTTATTCCACGTAATGTTGTTCATCAATTTCGAACTCTATCTGCTGTGACATCAATTGCTTGGCATGTGCGACTAAAAAATTATTATCCAGAAGAAACAAATGATGATGAATATGCTCCCATGTATAGTCCTATATCACCTTAAAATACTTTTATCTCACTTTTTCTTCGTTTAATTTATTGTAATTTTCTACTGTTTAAAAGTTTAAAAATAAGTAAGAATGGTTTTATTCAATGTGTATCGAGTATAGTTGAGATAAGTTGTGTATACGTTTCGATTGCAAATCGTCAGTGAAAAAATGGAAATTGTATTCTGAATGATGTACAAAAAATGTTATTTTACTTCTTCTTGTCGTTCTAACCGTGAACAGTTTCGACGTCATAAAAATAAAAACTTTTCTTTTTTGTTTTAAGATAATGTTTTTTTTCTTATCACTCTTTTTGGCCTTTTGCCGAGTCATTCACTACTTTTTGATATTTATTTCATATGAAATGGTCACGAATTTTTTTATATGCGATAACATGGCTAAACTAAGTCAGAGCTAGGATTTACTTTTTATAGTAGTATTCAGCTTTTCTCTTACAAAAGCCGAATAACCATATAATACTATATTTCATGATATCGTTTTCTTGGGTTACTCCTTAGACGTATTTATGTGGTTTTTGTATGTACTCAAGTCTCTTTTTTTTTTGTTTAAATTTTTCTATGAATGAGTAACTGTTTTTTTATCTTTTTTCATCAATCTCAGAATAAGTTTTACACTCCACTATTGTTGTTGTTGTTGTTGTAACGTGGTAAAATGTTTTTGTCTGTATGTTTGTGTGCTTACAATTCTTGCGTACATATCTCTCTTTACTGCAATGTTCTCTAATTAAAAAGACAAGGAAAATATTAGATTTTCTTTTGTTCAAATTTTCTTTTGCAATAATGTCTCTACATACACTAGAATAGTGTGTTTGTGACTTTAATTTTGTGTTTTGTATTTGCGTGTTCCATATATTATCTGGTCGATTTTCAACCCCTGAAATAATTAAGGACTCAGCTAATACATTTAGAAGTATTAAGTAACTAAGGCAATGTTTCAAGACTCATTATAAGTTAAGTTTTTCATACAGAACTTAAATGCTAAGGTAAACTCTCTCTTTATGTAGAGAAAAGAGCCACAGGATTGCCTTGAATACGGACGAGCTTATGTTAAGTGAAACAGACGTCTCTTATCTCTTTTGATGTCATTTTCTGTAATACTTCAATACTCCTTTAATTTGATGATGTACTATGTGAATGATGCCATGTATGTATTGTTTCTTTTTATGTTAAATTCTTTTTATCACGTGTACATCTCTGTTTTTTTGCTTCGATTTTTACATGTATATATATATCTTCATATAGAAGCCAAGAGTAATAAAAAGTTTTTTT